GCGACTTGCCCAGGGTCACAGAGCTAGTAAGTAACTGAGACTAGATATGAAATCAGGTTTTTCTGACTCTAGGCCCAGTTCTCTATCCACTGTGCACCTAGCTGTCCACCCTGGGATACCATGAGGTGTAGGAGCAGCTGGGGAAGGGGTACAGGAGAAGGGGTTCTAGGATTATACCTATAACCACAGCTGAAGCTTCAAAGGAAAAGTGCACCCTTAGAGACCAAATGTTTCTCCAACAACGATGGGAAGGAAAAGAGTCCTGGCATGAGCTATACAGGGGAGGGAGCAGGATCCAGGAGAAAGCTACAAATAGCCTAGTGGAAAGGGAGAAGAAACGTGCCCCAGGCCGACACTCTCAGATCTTCTAAGGCTCCCATTCTGGGGCCCCATGGCCTTACCCTAGTTATGGCTCTATTCGGCAGTGACATTGTCAAGGTGGTTGAAAAGGGGGAGAGTGCTAAGAATCATAGTTTTTCAGAGTCCACAAAAATTAATGTAACGGTTTTGCCTTAAATATGAAATCCACGGCCAATGATCGCTCAGCCTGGCTCTCAGCTTTTCTGGCTTTCCTTGGGATTCAGCTCACATCCTGCCTTCTTCAGGAGGCCTCTTTGCTACCTTTTTCTTGCTATCTTCCCTCTAAGATGACTTTCCATTTACACCGTATATCTCATGTATGCATAAAGTTCTTTACACGTTGTCTCCTCCGTTAGAATGTGAGCTCCTTAAAGATAAGGACCCTATTTTTGTCAGTCAAAAAGCATGCGTTAAGGGCTTGCTATGTGCCAGACATTGTGCTGGGAATACAAAGAAAAAGCCGTTCCTGCCCTCAATTTGCTTACATTTTAATGGGGAAGACAAATCAATAAAGGAAGCTGAAAAGCCATTACTTGTCTGACGTATTAATATGATAATGATGTTCAGTCAAGTCTGACTTCTGCTGATCCCATTTGGGGTTTTCTTGGCAAAGATATTGGAGTGGTTTGCCATCTCCTTCTCCAGCTCATTTTACAGGTGAAGAAACTGAGGCAAGCAGGGTTAAGTGACTTACCCGGACTCACACAGCCAGGAAGTGTCTGAGGCCAGATTTGAACTCAGGAAGATGAGTTTTCCTGACTCCAGTGCTAGTGCTCTATCCACTGAGCCACCTAGCTGCCCCTTGGGCTGTGTCTTAAACGAAGAAAGGGACTTTAAGAAAATGAGGTAAGGAAGAAATGCATTCCAGGCAGGGGGGCAACTTTGTCAGACTCAGCTGATGTATAGATTAGTTCCACAAAAAGATTTTTTCCCATTTTCATTCGTTGTTACAAAGGACGACTCTCAAGGTGGGGGTCGATGTAGGTGGAAAGATACATTCAGAAATGAAGTCGACATAAAAACAAAAGATATGAATAAAAAGTGAATAAACTGAGATGACGTAGTCTGCTGTAAAACATAATTTGTAAGAGCCTACTTGATTCCTTTTTAAGCTTTTATTGATTATATTCTTGATGTCTGTGTAGATTATCATCATAAAGATTTTTTATCAGTGAGAAACTAACCACGGTGCTCAATAGTTATTGACATCTTCTTGGTTTCCCTTCTCTTTGGGCAATAAGATACATGATTTTTTTTTCCCCCAAGAGTTTAGTACCGATCCCTCAGCATCCTCAAAATTGTGTCATCTACAAAACAAACTTCTGCTGTAGATTCTTGGTCTAGTTCAGCTGTTCTTTTGTTTTGGGCTTTTTTTACTGCCATTTTTTATTTTCTCATTTGGCATAGAAGGCAGTGATGTTAGAATTTGAATGTCATTGATGGGGAAGACATTGTTATAGAAATTCCTATGGATTTCTTATTTTTCTTCTGTTCATTATCTTTCTAGTTTTGCAAAGTCTTTAAGATGATCTGGTTTCCTTGGGTCTCTTCTGTGTTTTCTGCAAGATAGTTTTTCACTCCAATGCTTCTCAGGATTCTGGGAGATGATTATTGTTTACAATCTCATACCAAGACACCACAAAGGGGCTTAACCAAAAAGTTTGTATTCTAAGTCAGTGACCAAGAATTCCTGAGTTTCAATATGTATTAAAGGCATGTGGTTTTATGCCATATGTTTCTACCTGGCCTGGAAATCAAACTCTTTCTGGTTGAGGTGCTTCCTAGGTCTTTTGGACATTTTGTTATGGTGATCAATTTACATTGGTTAAACTTCCTTAGTAATGGAGACATCACATGTCCATGTCTGTCTTTACTCCATCTCCCATTCTGGGGATCAACAGCTTGTTGAAACAAGTCAGGTCTGAGTTATCTCAATTGGGCCCCTTTTATTGTTACTTTTAATTTCATATGAATTTGGATCCTTTAAGAACTTCGTGTTCCAGTTGCATGAGGAGAGCTGATTCAGAAGTGGCTCCCACATTGGTAGCCAGTCATTTTCTTTCTATTAAAATATAATCACATTCATTGTTGGCGATATCACGTGGAGTATCCTTCCTGACTTTTCTTGATGTAGAGACATGAGAGTTCAATATACTCTGGAAGACTTTGAATTTTCCCATTTCTTACTCCTGATCTTTGTTTCTCTCTCTCTCTCTCTCTCTCTCTCTCTCTCTCTCTCTCTCACTCTCCCTTTTTCTCTCTCTTACTCTCTGTCTCTGTCTCCCTCTAAAACAAAGCTTAGGTTAGGGGTGGGGAACCTCAGCCTCCAGGCCACATGTGGCCTTACACCTGGTTTAGGTGTAAAAAATGTATTTTTAAAAACTATACATATATATGTAGAGAGATCAATATATGCATAGATTTATTTGTATATATCTCTAAGTTACCAAGTATTACTATATATGTTGATTTAATATAGAGGGTCTTATCGAGGTCTTCACAGAATTTTTCTTCCTCTCATTCTCTGAAAGATATTGATGCAAAAGTGGCCATGATTTTCATGGTGAATTTTTTTGAAACGGCGTAATATAAGCATTATATTTCAAGATGACCAAGTTTCCCATGAATTATTAAGGCAGCTAGGTGGCTCAGTGAGCCTGGAGTCAGGAACACTTACTAGCTGTGTAACCCTGGGCAAGTCATCCTGAGTGCCAAAAAAAAAAAAGACACAGCTCAAGCACCATCTTCATCTGATTCCACAACTGCTAGTGCCCTCCTCAAACTGTATTTAACTACTTTGTGTATATATTCATTTATTCAGTGTGTGTGTGTGTGTGTGTGTGTGTGTGTGTGTGTGTATACACATACATAAGAGTGCCGAGTCTGGCATAAGGAAGACTCATTTTCCTGAATTCAAATCCGGGCTCAGACTCTTACTAGCTGTGAGACCCTGGGCAAGTCACTTAACCCTGTTTGCCTCAGTTTCCTCACCTGTAAAATAAGTTGGGGAAGGAAATGACAAATCACTTCAGTATCTTCGCCAAGAAAACCCCAAATGGAGTCATAGAGTCCAACAGGCCTAAAACCACTGAACAACAACAACAACAAAAATTGAGTAGAATTCCTTGATTTTTCAGTGATTCCAATGATTCCTTATGCAAGCTGTTCCATTGATCTTTTCTATTTTTCAACCAGTACCAAAATAATTTTTTGTGTGCTCTTCTGGTTTGTTTGTTTTGGAGTCACCCTGGGTTAAGTGACTTGCCACACCCCTTTGGGTGGAGATATCTGGTACCTCCTACTTCCTTTGTCCTACTGTTATAAATATGCAAACTTCTGTAATGTAAAAATTTTTATGAACTTTCTTTCCTTTGTACCCTGGCACAAACTTTTATCTTATGGCTTCCAAGGTGCTCACAGACAGACTGCAGAAGCCAGTATGAAAATCTATCCGTCTTCTATTTAAGCCAGACATTGAAGAGTTTTGCAAAAATATGCTGAACTGCCACTTGTCTCTCTAATTTTGTTTTGGAAAATAGTTTATTTTTTCATAAAATTATGTTTTTACAGGAAACCTTTTCCAACCTGTTTTAATTCCAGTGTCTTCTCTCTGTTAATCTTCTTTTTTTTATTTATCTTGTATATGGTTTGCTTTTTAGATTAACTGTTGGCATGTTGTTTTCCTATTAGATTGTAAGCTCCTTGAAGGCAAGGACTGTCTTTTGCCTCGTTTTGTATCCCCAGTGTTTAGCACAGTGCCTACTACATACTTGGTGTTTATTAAACGTTTATGGATTATATAATGGTATTACACATCACAATATTATATTTGTCGTTGTTCAGATGTGTCCAACTCTCTCCATGTGACGTCATGAGGTTTTGTCAATGAGGTCTCCTTGCCAAAGATATTGGAATGGGTTGCCATTTCCTTTTCCAGGGTGTCCCCTTTACACAAATGAGGAAGTGAGGAAAATAAGGTTTAAGTGACTTGGCCAGGATCACATAGGTGGTAGGTGTGTGAGGAGGAATTTGAACTCACATCTTCCTGACTCTAGGCCTGGTGCTCTATCCACTTCACCACCTAACTACACACACACACACACACACAATGTTATTTATAAATATGTGATTAATATATAATTATATAAGTGTTGATTGATTGATGCTATCATGTAATAGGTTTGTTTTTATTTTAATAATAAATTTATAAACATTTAAAAATCTTTATCCCTTTAAATGTCTAAAGTGGTAAATATCGATAGAAATAAGCCACATAAACAAACGTTTTGGGGGAATCCTCGATAATAAACTGGTCTTGGGACCGAAAAGGCTGCACTTACGGTGTCTCATTTCAGGTGTGCCTGTGAGGTGCAGCCCCGGTTTACGTAACATACTTCTAGGAACCACAGCAAAAGCTTTCTCTCCCGTCTTTTCCTGCTTTTTCATTCGTTACGAGGATTACTCAGGTTGAGTCAGCTGACTCCCGGGGGAGGCTGAGTTAATTACACCAGAGGCGCGCAGGCGGAAGAAAAGGCGAAGCACGTGCACCCTGGAGCTTCTTGGCTCCTCTCCCGTCCCGTACTCCGCGCCCCCTACTGCGGCTGCGCGCTGTCCGTCTATAAAGGCGGCCGCCGCCTGCGGCTTCCCGGAGTTGTGCTTGCTTCATCTCCGCCGCTGTTGCTGTTTTCCGCTCTGCCCGGAGTCACCGAAACCGAAACCGCAGCCGCGGCCGCCGTCAAGATGGCGTCCACCAGCCGGTTAGTAAGTCCTACCGAGACCTGCCGGGAGCGAATCCTCGGTGGGGCAGCTTCCGGGGGGCGCCGTGGCGGCATCGCGGGGGAAACGAGGCCGAGGAGGCGGGGCCGGACGAAGGCGCCTGCGGGGGGCCGCGGGGGCTTCTGTTCGCCCGCCCCGGGGCTTTCCTCCGGCGCTTCCTCTTTCTCTCGCTCGGGCCGCCGGGGCGGCTCCGCCTTCGGCCTCTGAAAACAAATCTTTCTGCCAAAAACCGTCGGGGCGATTTTGGGAAGTCTCTCGGTGAAGGTGGGGGAGCGCAGCCCTCGCTCCCCGACGTCACGTAGACCTTCCTCCGGGGCGGCTGCCCTTTGCACCCGGGTACAGGCCTCCCAGGCGGGAGCAGACCCCGGCCGACCCTCCCTCCCCGGGAGGCTGCTCTTAGGGCCTTTTACCCGAAGTCGACACTGAGTCATGAGGCTGTTGACTTTCCCACGCGGAGACACTGACACCTGACTCGTTGCTTTGCTCCCGCCGTGGTGACACCCAGCCCATGGCCCCCGTGCACGGTGGGGTCTGTCCGGCCGGCACCTGCAGTCTCCTCTGCCTTTCATAGCATCTCCAAGGTGGCCTCTCATTCTGAGCATTCCCAATAAAACTGCCTCCGGAAGCTCTTGGGCCCTTCCCGAGCGCTGGCCTGGATAAACGATTGGAGAACCATAATCTGGCTGCCTGATTGCTGGCCTGGATGGCATAGCTTGGGTGGCCCCGACACCCTTGTTTACAGTCTGCTGAGGATGCTTTGGGTGACCACTACTTTCATCATCGAAGTGGGTGTGGCTGTCAGGTGAGGGTGTGGGGAGAAACACTTGACAGTCCAACCTGCCTAATGCGTTTAGCGCCTTCTCAATTGGAGAGTTTCAGTTGTTCACATGGTCACTCAGCACTTAATTAAAAAGAAAACTCTCTTGACCATAGATATTTAAATACATTTCATAATCATCCGTGATATTTAAGGCAGAATTTTGTTGAAAAATGTATTGGAATATACTAGGGAAAGAGCGTGTTAAATCACTATTCAGGACTGTGTTTACAGTTTGTGGACTAAGGACTTTTTCTTTTCTTCCCACTAATCGATATCTCCTGAATTAGTACCTTCATCAAAGAAAGGAGCTACAAGGAAAGATTGGGAAACCCTAATCTGTAAATGTTACTTCTTTAAGCTGTTGAGTTTTTGAAAGAGCTATGGTTCCCCTCAAAAAAAGAAAAAAAAGTTATGTGTAGAAGCCTGTGCTGTGCAGTTTTAAAGAGTTTAGATAAGACATAGGCCCTGTCTTCGTGGAGTTGGATACAGCCTGGAACCCAAAACAAAGTTTGTAATTAGCTTTAGCTTTAGAGGGGCCATTTGCTTCCTCTTTCCCTTTACCATAGAATTCTGTATCTTGGATTCTCCTTCTCCCTTTGTCTTCTCCCCTCTCCAATATTTTTTGATGGTGGTGTAATTTTTTTTTTTTTATGTTTTCATGTTCGTTTTAGGTACTTATAGGTCAGGGAGATTTTCATGTTTTATCGGTGGTGAGGGAAGAGAATGGAGTAGAAAACTTAATAGTATAACTCAAGGAAACTTAGGTTTTGCAGGAATAATTGGAATCATCTTTTTATGTTATCATATTGATGCAAAATTGCATTGTAATATAGTGCAGGGAGCAATGATGTAGGAGTCAGGAGATCTTAGTCAAGTTCCTAAGCCTCACCAGACCTCAGTTTCCTTGTCTGTAAGTGAAGATGTCTGACTCAATGATTTCTAGTGCGCCTTCCAGTGAAAAGTCTATGAAACTTTGAAAATTTAACCACTCCTCTGTTAAGCTTTAACCTGAGTTGATATGTCCATTCTTTGAGAATAAAAATCCTGAAACCAGGCCTATAATGATCAAGCTACTTGATGCTGTAGCCTGTGAAAGTCTTTAGTTACCTCAAGTAACTTTTGCTTTGAGGAACCAAGATACTTAGCATTAGCTCTAAGAATTGGATTATGGGAGTTTTTTATTCAATGGGATACTGATTGTTGAGAAAACATTTTTTATACCTTTCGTAAAGTGGATTTATGAATGGAATAGAAGTGATAAGTGAGACAGTATTAGTTGGATCTTAAGAGGGTGCGGAAGGCAGCTTTTAAAACATGATGAACGCTTATACCTTTCTGATTTAACTGATTCATGTCTGTCTTTAACAAATCTTAAGGCTAAAAGGTTCAGCTTTAACCAGCAACTAGTATGTACACAAATATTTGATTACACATAAGCAACATTACTAGAGTAAGTAACAAGTACCAAAATTAAGAGTTGAGCTTTTCTTTTTTGACAACAAGGGAATCAGTTTGCAGAAAGTGAAACCAGATCACTTGGAAAACCCACATACTGGATAATTAGCCCCTGAATTAATTCAGTTCAGTTGCCTAAATATAACTTTATGTTAACATGCAATTTCTTTTTGTAGTTATGGTTAATAATCATCACAACCTTCAGGAACTTCTGTTTATGTAAAGCAGTATTTGTACTCTAGACCAGTGGTCTCCAAACTTTTTTGATCACTCCTATTAACAAAAAAAGTTTTGGACACGTACCCTCGATATTTTTTTATTTATGTATAGATTATATATACTACTGTGTAAGTGTGCTATGTACCTTATAAATCACACAAAATACAAATTATAATGAAATAAATATTTTACATTTTAATGATATAAAACCATTTCTATTACTAATCAGTATTTTTTTAATGAAAACAATGTAAATTTCAGTCCATGTCCTAACAATGAATTTAATGTTTTAGCAGGAGTAATTTTTTCCATTGATATTTACTAGTGCAAAAACTAGTAAAAGGTATGATTTTAGCTCAACGGGATGTTATTTACATTTATTCTTGTGTTTTTTGATTAGTGGATGGTATCACATCAAAACTTCCTCTTTGTTCATGTTCATATATTTTAGTTGGATTTTTGTATGAGTATGAGGAGCAGGAAAAAGACCTGTTTCTCTGAACTGTAGAGTGTAGGGAGGGAAGTAAATGGTAATAAGACTGGAAAGATGAGTTGGTACAGGATTGTGAAGGACCTTAACTGTCAAAGAGATTGGCTTGTATTTGGTCTTGCAGTGAATAAATTAATAGAGGAAGGAAAGAAGGAATTAAGCAGTTATAAGTCTGCTATGTACCAGGCACTGTACTGAGGGCTTTATAAGTATTATCTCATTTGATTCTCACAGTTCTATGAGGTAGGTGCTGTTATTTACAACACCTTTTTACAGATGAGACTCCAGGCCCAGCTCTATTGCATCATCTAGCTGCTAGAGTCTAGGGAGGGGGAGGGAGCCCCCAAAGTGTTGACATGGTCAGATCAGCATTTCAGGAAAATTACTTTGGCAGATGTGTGGAAGATGAATTAGAGTGGGGACTTGAGGCCGGGAGGTCAATTAGTAAGAGTGCTTAATTGGGGTCTGGGGTGGGGAGGACTAAGTATACTGGTGGGAGAAAGGGGAAGGAGGGAATGAATTGGAAGGGTGGTGGGGGGATGATGTACTAAGGTAGGTGTGTGATTGGCTATCAGGGAGGATGGGAATTTGACACCTCACCACCATACCATTAGTTATGCACTTTATGGGTCTGTTCTGATCATATGCACTTTAGGGTCTGTTCTGACTTCTATGGCCCCTACTTGGGAGACCACTGGTCTAGACCAGGCATGTCAGATTAAATAGAAATAGGGGCCACTAAACCAAACATAAGCATCCTTGCTGACTGTGTATCTGTAATGTAGTCTTTGTTTTATTGTATTTTTATATTTCTCAGTTACATTTTGATCTAGTTGGGTACACTGTGCCTTTGAGACTTCTGGTCTAGGCAATTTGTCTACATTTTAAAAATAAATAATCTTCTTTTTTGATGTATCTTTTAAAAAGATCCAGAGATCTTAAGTGTTAACAGACCAAGATGGCTCTAGTAGAAAATAAGCTCTGTTTTCTACTTTTAAGTACAAAAGAAGATAAAGAAATGTAATGTGATTAGTGTTTTTGTTACTAATAAGTTAGAAGGTACATGTAAGTTATAAAGTAAGCTGTGTCTGTGATAGTAGAAGAGTATTCAAAAGCCTCCCATTTGAATACTTTATCCTTTTTTGCAAAACAAATGTTATTGGTTGGTTGAAGATCAATATAAAACTTTTTTTCTTTTTAATTTAGATTGGATGTACTTCCAAGAGTTACATGTCCAAACCATCCAGATGCTATTTTGGTGGAAGACTACAGAGCTGGGGACATGATCTGTCCTGAATGTGGCCTGGTTGTTGGTGAGTGTTGTTTCCTGAGGTTCTTATTAAGAGAGTGTAAAAATAATTATTCCTCTGATGTACAGCAGGGGTGTCAAAGAGAGGCCCAGATCAGATTAAAATGTAATTGGGAAATGTTGAACAAACTAAATAAAAATATAGTGCAATGTGTAATGTTCATCGGTAGTTTTCTAAGTCAGTGCAGCCTTTCTATCTAAGCTTGGCACCACTGAGATAAATGAGATAAAGAATGAACATTTTCTTGGTGTCAGCATTTCATTTTGTCCAGCAAGGATACTTGAAGCAGGGTGGTGCAAATGTATTGTCTCTTATCAGTCATATGGAGAACAATGTAACTGACTTGGCCTTGGAATTCACACTAAAAGCTAGAAGTGAAGACACTTTGTAACCAATCTCAGGTTCTGTAGAGTTTCCTGGAATGAAAGTAATGGGGGAAAAAAACCGTTGTGTTAGGGATGTGAAATGGAGGGACTGGAGCTCCATCTCATCGGGACCCTGGGAGTCACATGTGGAGTAAGATCAGTGCTTCATGGAGGGACTTAACATGTTATGAATTTGTCTTATTGTGCTTCATAATGGCTGTGCTTTGACATTAGCTACTTTTTGTGGCAACCACGAGTTTCTTGGTGTAGACAAAGATCAAGCTGTGAGCTGGACCATCGAGTTGCTTCTCTCACATTCTAAAGTTCTAGCCTGTTTTTCTTGCATTTTCCATTCTATATCAACTCAAAAGGAAAGTTGGTTTTGCTATTTCCATTTAATTTTCAATTCTGACCTTTATTTAGGTTAAAAGAGTTAAAAAAAAAACTCCTTATCATTTGATTTGACGGTCTGTGCTATTGTCCCATGTCCATTTCTTTCCCCCTTGTCATCTGAACTATTGAGAAAGCCATCTGCACTCACTACCTCCACTTCCTCTACTCTCACAATTCTAAATCCTCTGCAATCTGGCTTCCTGTCTCTGTCCTTATCCTTCTTGAGATCTCTGTAACCTTTTGGTCTTCTCCTTGATACCTTCTTCTCTTTAGGTTTTTGTGACACTAGTCTTTTCTGGTTCCCTTGGTCAGGTATGCTCCTTCTCAGTGATTCTTCATTATCCATGTAGTTTTTCCTCACCCTGAGTGTCCCCTGAGACTCTCTTTTCATTCTGTGCTGTCTTACTTGATAAGGTGCCAGGGGCTCAGTTTTCATCTCTATGGAATTGATTCCCAGATCTATAAATCCAGCCCTCGTCCCTCTCCTCACATCTTGGACATCTTGGATTTCCTCAGATTCTCAAATTCCCTACATCTAAAGCAGAACTCATTATCTCCTGTCCTCGAACTCTCCCCTGCTTCCACTGTCCTATTAGTGTCAAGGGCAGTTAGTCACCCATGCTCTCTGTCATTCTCTGCTCCTTTATACTCACCTCATATATCTAATCTAATGTGAAATCTTTTGTTTTTTATCTTCACAACTTCTCGTGTACATCCACATAGCCACATCACTTCTTGCCTGGACTATTGCAATTAATAGTCTTCCAGTTGTCCTCAAGTCTTTCTTTACTCAGTAAACTCCAGTGATCTCTCCTCCTCTCACCTCCAAGATCAAATATGACGTCCTCTGTTTGGCTCATGAAACCCTTCATTCGCCTCCTACCTTGTGATTCTCAAGAGGACAGAAGACTCTGTCAGCCCACTCATTGCATTGTCACCGGCCATTGCCCGTGCCTAGAATTCCCTTCCTGGCTCACCTCCACTTCCAGGCTTCCCTGGCTTCAAGACTCAAGTCTCTTCCGCAGAAGACCTTCCTCACCCCTTCTTTCCCTTTCCCCCTCAAGTCTCTTCTGTTTACACTACATGTACATTACATGTATATGTATATTCACATACACGTTTGTGTGTATATAGAGAGCATTGTGTTGCGTGGTGAAGATACAAAGAAAGGCAAACCTAGCCGCAGTCCTCCAGGAGCTGACTTGTTGTGGGGGAGATCATATGCAAATAACCATAGATAAGTATCTTACAAGATATGATATAGATAAAAGATATATCTTTATCATATGTAAGATGCACAGAACTTTATATATACATATATCTTACAAGATATGTGCCTGTCTATTAAGTACGTGTTATCTCCCCCATAGCGTGTCGGCTCCCTGGGGCTGGAGCCCTGTTTGCCTTTCTTTGGATTCCCAGCACTTAGGACAGTGCTTAATCAGTGCTTGCTGACTGACTTTTATAATCCCCTAACCACCTATGCTTCTTTGAATACACATTTTTAAGACCTAACACTTGCAAAATACAATAAGGGCTCTTTCGATATTCCACTTGAGGGTTGGTTTGTTTGTCTTTTTCCAATTCATAGTTGTCTTTATATGATGCTTGTCATAATGAAAGTATAAAATGTAACTTTAATTTTAAAGTGTGTTATAGAATTATCTAGCAGTTGTTGAATTAGGTAGCTGTCACACTGCAAAATTCCTGTTCTTTAACTAGACAAGGATGGACAGAAAACCTGTGGATATGTTTGAATAGTACCTCGCTAGGGAAATCCTAAGAATCCCTGGAGAGCCTCTTAACATTCAGAGTCTAAAATTTAGACTTTTCTTGGAGTCTAATATAAATTTTGTTTTTAGGTAAATTTCTCTTAGATATTTCTTTCAAGAAGCAACAAAACAAATCTAAGTAGTGTCTTTGTCAATAAAAAAAGGTCTCACTAACACCTGCTTGTCAAATTTGGCTTCTGGTTAATTGGTGCCAGCCATGTGCTGTCTGTAACCAGCTTAATCCATGTTCTAACTATTACACTAAGGAAGTGAGGAAGAACTCAAGCTGGGCAAATACTCTGTAATACACCAAGGAGGTAACATTTACAATTCTTTACGTTTAAATTGTTGACGTTTATTCTGATGTCTGGATTCAGCCTCTCTGAACAGCTTCAAGAAAAATTACTCAGTGGGCTGATCTTGCTTACCATTTTTAAAAATTGCTTGCACACTTAGAATATTTTGATTTTAAATTGTGAATGTGAGTGCTAAATCAATTCTGATAATGTGGTTTGGACATTTTTGGGGTATTGAAACATTTTGAATTATTGCAGATCACTATTATAGGAGTTTAGTAGTGTGCTTGTTTATGTGAATAATCATGCCCTAAATCATCAATTCAAATTGTTTGGTATTAATATGCAGTTTTTGTTGAAATCATTATCTGAAATTCGGAGTTAAGTTCAGCACCTGAAGTTTGATTGTAAGATTGTCTCCAGCTCTCCTGTGTTTCAGTCCTAAAATCATGCGCTGTCTCACGTCTAGAGCCATGATATCCTGGCAACTCCTAGGACTTGAAGTGTGAGGGTGAATCAGGTTTTCTAGACCTGCCTTTGTTCCTTGAGTATATTTGTCATCAAATAAGCCAATATGAATCACCCTAAGACAACTCACCGAACCCTTCATGTGGGATTTACAGAATTCTAGCCTAAGTCTATGTTAGTGCAAAATAGTATGAGGACCCTCACGGGGTATGTAAAGATCTTATGTTCGGTGCTGTGCCATTCCCCTGTGGGTAAAAGTAAAAGGCTTCTAGTCCAAACTTGTGAACTGATACCCCGGTACCTTCTCTTCCCTGTACCCCAGATAGGGGGCCATGAGCAAGTCACTGAACCTCTCCATCATGGGATATTGTGAGGCCCAAAATGAGATCATATGTGTAAAGCTCTTTGTGAATCTTAAAGTACTCGCCATTGTTATTTCCTCTATATTCCAATAGAGAATTTATCCCTTATCTTGGTACTTGCTGGTTTGGTGGAAATCTGCTAGGCCAAGACACTCAAGGTTCCCATCAGCATAGGAGAAAATACACACTGGCTGGCCTACTAAGGTAGTTTGTGTGTTTTGTAATAAGGACCCCATTTTCTCCCCTCCCTCCGGTTACCTTGAATAACCTCCAGGGTGAGAACAATACCAATGAACTAAATTTTCAAAACTGGTCAGGATGAACTGCTGATATAAATCTACTTAGTACTTGAACTATAGTTATCCCTTCCACATCATTGGGGTTAGGGGCACAGCGCCCCCTCTATCTGGAAAATCCAAGTAAAATTTATTGGTCCTCCCTTTGTACCAAAGAAGTAGTCTTCTGGCTTTGCGGGTTTCCTTCTCTTTTTTCTTGATATTGCACAATTCTGTACATATATTTTATGCATTTCTTAGTTTCTAAACTTTCTGTGTCATCTGCTGGCCTTCACATGTCGTCTGTGGCTTCTGTAAAACACTCCAAAAATTATCATTTAATTTCTTATGCTGACCCACAATATCAAAACTGGGATAGGGAAAGTCACAAATTATTAAATATTATTATTATTAAATATTCACAACCATAATGTTACTAGCTTAAACCAAGGGATTGAGAATTTGTACATACAGCTTCTTTATGACTCAGTTTTCTGCCCATCTTGTTTATTGCAAATTCTCCTATTTCCTTTGACCACTATTACATTTCAGATATCCCAAACTCAGTAAAACTGCTCTTGTAAGCTTGCTGTTTTGTATCAGAATTTTTCTCCTTAAATTAATATGATTTGTGATCTAAGATGAGAGGATCTTATTTCAAAGATCAGTTGTGGAGGTAATCTGAATGCCTCCTCTCTGAGAAGAACTGCTATTTACTATCGATGTATTTTGTACGTAGTTTTTTTCATGTTATCTTCCTTATTAGAATGTCCGCTCCATGAGGGCAGGGACCAGGTATTTTTGTTGCCTGTCTTTGTATGCCTAGCACTGAACACAGTGCCTGACACACAACAAATGCTTGTGGAGGAGTGGAAGCTGACAGCAAGGGACTTGTGCTTCCAGTGTCCAGTTACTAGCTGCAGGTAATGCAGGGTGGGGGAGGAGGCACATTTCCTGTTTCCATATATCGAGCTTTGGCCTCTTTCATTTGTCATTTTCTTTGAATATTCTTACATAATTTGCATTAGTCCTTTTTAGTGTGTGAATTGCTTCTTCCTAACTCCTCGCCAGA